AGGGATGTGCACTGGCCCTCCTATTTACAAATTAAATATATTAATAGTAAAAAGGTCCGGTCCGAGCTTGTAGGCCCTTTACAAAATAATCTAGAATAGGTGACTGGGGACAAAGAGAAGGCAAATTTATTCAATACCTTCTTCAGCTCTGTGTATACAAAGGAGTATGGGGAAGCTCTTGTCCATAATGGGCATGGTATTGACACAGCTCCAGATGGTCCACACTGACTTACAATTGATATGATACAAACATATTTAGACAGAATAAAGGTGAGTAAAGCACCCGGACCAGATGGACTCTTTAATGATTGGAATAGTACCACTGGATTGGCTTAAGGCCAATGTGGTGCCAATATTTAAAAAGGGGTCAAAATCTTTACCAAGTAATTATAGACCTGTTAGTTTAACTTCTATAGTTGGGAAGATAATGGAGAGTTTAATGAAAGACCACATAGATGAGTTCTTGCTGGAAAAAAATATTTTAAGCAACAAACAGCATGGAATCATGAAATACAAATCTGATATTTTTTTATGAGGAGGTGAGCAAAACCTTGGACAGAGGGGTGGTGGTGGACGTGGTATACATGGATTTTGCAAAAGCGTTTGAAAAAGTTCCGCACATACAGCTAATATGTAAGGTAAAGTCTACAGGCTTGGAAAAATCCGTATGTAAATGGATAGAAAACTGGCTAAAAGAGAGTAGTGGTTAATGATTCTTACTCTGAATGGTCTAGGGTTGTCAGTGGTGTACCCCAATGTTCAGTGTTGGGACCCTTACTTTTTAATATATTTATAAACGATATAGGGTCTGGGATTAAAAATACCATTTCAGTGTTTGCAGATGACACCAAGCTGTGCAGTGGAATAACATCCTTACAGGATGTCTCTGATTTACAAGCCGACCTCAATGCACTGTTTAATTGGGCAACTATGTGGCAAATGAGCTTTAATGTTGATAAATGTAAGGTTATACACTTGGGTTCTAAGAATATGCATGCATCATACATACTAGGGGGGGTATAACTGGGGGAATCAATGATGGAGAAGGATCTGGGAGTTCTGGTAGATCACAAGCTTAATAATGGCATGCAATGCCAAGCTGCGAGCAAAATCCTCTCTTGTATTAAGAGGTATAGACTCCAGAGAGAGAGATATCATATTACCCCGGTACAAATCATTAGTAAGACCTCATCTGGAATATGCAGTTCAGTTTTAGGCACCAATTCACAAAAAGAACATTGGGGAACTGGAGAAAGTACAGAGAAGGGCAACCAAATTGATAAGAGGCATGGAGGAGATCAGCTATGAGGAGAGATTAGAGGAACTGAATTTATTCTCTTGAGAAGAGGAGATTAAGGGGGATATGATCACCATGTATAATACATAAGGGGGGATATGATCTCCATGTATAATACATAAGGGGGGATATGATCTCCATGTATAATACATAAGGGGGGATATGATCACCATGTATAATACATAAGGGGGGATATGATCTCCATGTATAATACATAAGGGGGGATATGATCACCATGTATAATACATAAGGGGGGATATGATCTCCATGTATAATACATAAGGGGGGATATGATCACCATGTATAAATACATCAGTGGTTCATATAGTGAACTCGGTGTAGAGCTATTCACCCTGAGATCATCACAGAGGACAAGGAAGCACTCCTTACGTCTGGAGGAAAAGAAATTTAATCTCCAAACACAAAAAGGTTTCTTCATAGTAAAAGCTGTGAAAATGTGGAATAGACTCCCTCAAGAGTTGGTTCTGGCCAGCTCAGTGGATTGCTTTAAAAAAAGGCCTGAATTCTTTCTTGGATACACAGAATATAACTGGATATTAACATTTATAGGTAAAGTTGATCCAGGGAATATCCGATTGCCTCTCCGGGGATCAGGAAAGAATTTTTTACACTGCATGAGCAAATTAGACAATGCTTTACTTTTTTTTTGCCTTCCTCTGGATCAACTGTGGGTGTAGGATTATAACTTTTTTTTTTTTTTTTTTAATGGTTCAACTGAATGGACTCTGTCTTTTTTTCGGCCAGACTAACTATGTAACTATGTAAAAGTGCACATCAGCTCAAACTGAAAGCACCCTACAGGGATGCACAGAGTCGTGCATGGTTCACGACATGAGAGGCTTTCAAGTCAAACTGGAGCTTTTAATTTTACAGTTATAAAAAGAGATTCTAGTAAGTCTCAAGTGTGTCCTATTACTGATAGGCAGAGCACATGTCGCAGACTAGTCCAGAGACAATTAATCAGGATGGCAGACAACATGTTAGTGAGTGCATGGAACAGCACATGGTAATGAAGTTTCTTGTGAACGAAGCTGTAAAACCCTTAGATATCTACAGAAGACTTCAAGCACAAAACAGTGATGAGACGCTCAGCCACAGTAAAACATTTGAATGGTGTAAATGTTTAAAAGATGGCTGTTCATCCATCAGTGACGATCCCGGTTGTGGTGGTTTCCAGCCCACAGCAGTCATTCCTGTGAACATTCAGCATCGAACTCCTGATCCTGGATAATCGAAGCATAACCTGTTGTGAAATTGCACAAGAGACAAATCTTTCTGTGGTAATGGTGAACACAATGATGACGAAGCAAAGCTGGCTGTCCTACGAAGGTTTATCTTTCTATGCTGAACCTTTCCAAGTATTAAACGCTGGGATAAGTGTATAAATGTTGCAGTGGAGTATGATGCAAAATAAATGCAGTTTCCACTCCTTGAAATTTGTTCTTTTACTATATAAACGCAAAAAGTTTGATTTGAACATCCCTCTGCACAAACGTCATCCCCAAAACTGAAACAAATAAAAATATGACCTTCTTAAAAGTAGAACTATAAGCAAAACTTTTTCCTGGTGCCTCTATGGCAGCAAACCTGTGATAAGTTCCACCTTAGACTCCTCCCTCAGGACCAGTGAATATATAAAAAGAAAGAATTCAGGTACCATCAGCATTCTCCTTTTTTTCCTCATACCTAATGGTCAGTGAATGTAAGTCGGTCGTCCTTAACTCTGCTGTGAGCAGCTTCCACCTGGGTTCAGCCTCTCCCAGTCGTAGTCCCTACTTTTGGGCAGCTAAAGGTAGGAAGTCCCTTCTGGGGGTCTTTTGGGACAGCCGTTGTCGCTTATCCAGAAGCACTATGTCTGCCACCAAGTTCATGGTGTTCACTAGAACTTAGGACATAGAGAGCAGCTATTCCTGTCATTTCTCCACGACTTTCCATGCACTCTCCCATTCCTTCTCTGTTCCTCTGTTTATTTGCTGCATTTCTGTGATCTGGCTGTCTCTCCCCAGATACTTTTCTTTTCCCCCTCTGTTTTGCCTTTGTTTGATTTGTTTCCTTTCTTACTCCCCTATAGAACCAGCATACTCCCATCTCCAGCTTTTCTGAGTGTCCTGGTGTCTTCCCGAACGCCCGCCATGTCTGAACTGGCCAGCCAGGCTATTTTTGCCCTTACTTAAATTCCTAGTTTTTTCCTTCTAGGATGGGAGCAGAATTTGTTCCCTTTTACCCCGCCCCTTCCACTATTTAGTCCCAGGAGCTTTAGTGTGGCCTCGTGTGGCTTTAGAGTAGGTTGGCCTTGCTTAGAGCTCCTGGAAGTATCGCCAGTATTCTCCAGCAGTAAGTCTTCTTCTTCTTTTTTTTCTTTCTCTCTCTCTCTCTCTTTCTTTTCCTCTTGTCCTCTCTTTTTTTTTTCTCCCTCTCCCCCTCTTCCATTTTCCCATGCACCCTTAAGGCTTAACCTAGGTTTAGGCCTGAGCACCTTAAAGGTGCAGGTGGCAACGATCTCTGCAGCAACAGACAAGAGGTGGGCCAAAGATTCACTTGTGGTCCAATTCTTCAAAGGCGACAAGAAGATATGTCCACCCATCAAAAGAGCTTTTTCCACCTGGGATCTGTCTGTAGTTCTAGAGGCTTTATCCAGGCAACCCTTTTCTCCATCCGAATCAGCTTCTTTGTAGAATCTGACTCTAAAACTGTCTTTTCTAATAGCAGTATCATCAGGTAAAATAGTGTCAGAACTTCAAGCCCTATGGGCAGAAGAGGACCACATTACTTTCTACCCAGATAGGGTAGAACTTAGAGCACTGACCGGATTTGTTCCGAAGGTTTCTTCATATTCAAATCTTTCAGAACCATGGGCTCTGCCAACCTTTTCAGACCCAGAATCTGGTACCCTCCATGAGTTCGACATCGCCAGTGTGTTAAGGTGTTATCTTCAAGCTACAGCATCCTTTAGGGATTCGTCTAGTCTGTTTGTCATCCCTTGGGGCAAAAACAAGGGAAAGGAGGCTTTATCAAGAACAATTGCTTCATGGATAGTTAAGTTAATTCATAAGGTGTACAGGGCCAGGGGTTTGGAACCCCCCGCTTTAATCAAGGCGCATTCGACCAGGTCTGCCTCCGCTTCATGGGCAGCTAGGGCAAATATATTCATCGACACCATCTGCAGAGCAGCATCCCAACACACATTTATGAGGCACTACAGAGTGCACCCAGGGGCTCTCTCATCTGTGGAGTTCAGCAGACAAGCTACCAGGGCGGCCGTTGCTTGTTCAAAATGATAATCCTCCTACTTTGTGAATAAAACTACGCATGATCCCACCCATTTCAGCTAGTTATTTATCACAGGTATGCTGCCATGGAAGCACCAAGAAAACAGAAAATTGTAACATACTTACCATAATTTTCCTTTCCTGGTGCCTTATCCATGGCAGCATACAATCTCGCCCTCGGTATTCTATATTACAGAGAATGCTGGGGGTACCTTAATCCTTTTTTTTTTTACATATATATTCACTGGTCCTGAAGGAGGAGTCTAAGGTGGAGCTTATCACAGGTATGCTGCCATGCATAGGCACTAGGAAGTGAAAATTATGATACGTATGGTACAATTTTAAGTTTTTTTTCTCATTTTGGATAGAGTAAATGAGGATCATAACCCCTGCCAGTTTATTTTTGCTGTCTGTGTCCCAGTAGTGAGATTTCCCCTCTCCTCCTGTCCCATAGCCAAAACAGGAAGTGAGAGGAAATCCCTGCACATTAAGGGAATCCCTCAGAGACCCCCAGGTCACCAGAACCAGTGTCCCCATTGGAAGATTTCCCCTCTATTACTCTTCTTTGGACAACCCAAATATGAGATTTTTTTTCACTTTCACTGATAATGGTAAACAGGACAAACGGAGAAGGTGATATGCCCTAATGAGGGTACAGACAGCAATAACAAGTGGCAGGTGCTCTAATCCCTCTCCACTCTGTCTAAAACTTAAAAAAAAAGTTTACTTTACTTTTACATATACAGTTATTTACTAGAAAGGGTGGTTGAATAGCCAAAACATTTTTTTCCATTTTGGATAGTGTATGAAACAGTTGTAACCCCTGGCAGTTTGTTTTTCCATTGATGCCCCACTGGGGAGATTTCCCTTCACTTCCTGTCCTATACACAACAAAAAGTGAGAGAAAATCTCTCCAAAATGAGGGAAATGCCCTCTAAGACATCTTAGACAGTTGTTACCAGAACTAGTGTCTCCATTGTAACATTTCCCCTTATTTCCTGTTCTCCTGACAGCTCAAAAGTTTGTTTTTTACATCTCAGTAAGAGTGTTGAACATCACTAGGGTAGGGTAGAGCAATAAAAACCTGATTGTTGTGTTAACCTTTCACTACGCTACCTAAAACTAAAACAACTTTTTTACAAAATGGAACTTTAGGCAAATGTTGGAAACCATCAGGTAGTCATTCAAAAGTCGTTATATTATTTAATTGTAATTACTGCTAATAATATTGTCTCAAACCATGCTTATGATGATTACCTATAATCCACTGATTATATCCACCAGAAATCAGATGAAGAATTGGAGTCCCAATGCCATGAACCAATCAAGGTTCATAAATGTACAGAATTTTGTAATTGTAGTGCATTTTAGGTTTTGGGAATTAAAGAAGCAGAAGGGCAAAGGTGCAGACCTTCTAACAGCTCTGGAAAATAAGGATGACTCTGCCTTGAGAGAAGGATCCTGTAGGTCCTGAAACATTGGCTTAGATTATCAAGGTACCAAGGTGTACTAGTGAAGATTCTCTTTTTCCCATGATTGTATGGTGGTACTATCCACCAGTTCACTACAGCACCCTACATGAATTGGGAACAAGCTTGGAATACGTGTGATGGACACAACACAACTTCACTTGTGATCTAGACCACCTTTATGATTATAATCGGCTATCGCTATTAATAAACAGTTTTGTGGAGGGAAAAGAGAATGTGCTGCATTGGGTGTAAATTTCCCCAGGCTAATTAAACCATAGTAACCAATCCAATATCTATTTTGAGCTAGAGAAAGCTTATCCATGCTTGGTTGCTTGATGTTACTGGCAGTACATAGTTGCAGTAACCACGTTATCGCAGTTGTGTAACTCAAAAGAAAAATTATATATAAAAAAAATATATGTAAAAGAAAAAAATGCTAAATCAAAAAAAAAAAAAGATATAAATAAAAAAAAAAAAAAAAGGCTCCATGGCCAACTTCGTTTTTTTCTGCCGACACTCTTGTGTGTTTGTGTGTAATAAATATTTTGTAGATTAACAACATCAGGTTTCTGATACCAGTTTTAAATTAATAAAACTATTTGTAAACTCATTCTAATTCTTCCTCTCACAACCAGACAAGGAGGTTGCTGGAAATGTCATATGCTTTACAGACACAGTTAAACATGAAGGACATGGCTAATGAGCATAAACATGAAGGACATGGCTAATGAGCATAAATGTGAAAGCCTGTCGCCCTGTTAATGAGAGGAAACTGGAATGGTGGCTTAGCATAAATATATATCTACTGGCTATATATATATATATATATATATATATATATTTGTAAACATATATAATAATATATACACTATATTGCCAAAAATATTGGGCCACCTGCCTTTACACATACATGAACTTTAATGGCATCCCAGTCTTAGTCTGTAGGGTTCAATACTGAGTTGGCCCCGCCCTTTGCAGCTATAACAGCTTCAAGTCTTTTGGGAAGGCTGTCCACAAGGTTTAGGAGTGTGTCTATGGGAATGTTTGACCATTCTTCCAGAAGTGCATTTGTGAGGTCAGGCACTGATGTCGGACGAGAAGGCCTGGCTCGCAGTCTCCACTCTAATCCATCCCAAAGGTGTTCTATCGGTTGAGGTCAGGACTCTGTACAGGCCAGTCAAGTTCTTCTACCCCAAACTTGCTCATTCATGTTTTTTTGGACCTTTCTTTGTGCACTGGTGCGCAGTCATGTTGGAACAGGAAGGGGCCATCCCCAAACTGTTCCCACAAAGGTGGGAGTATGAAATTGTTCAAAATGTCTTGGTATGCTGACACCTTAAGAGTTCCCTTCCCTGGAAATAGGGGCCAAGCCCGACCCCTGAAAAAAAACCACACACTATAATCCCCCATCCAGCAAACTTTACACTTGGCACTATGCAGTCAGGCAAGTACAGTTCTCCCGGCAACCACCAAACCCAGTCACATCGGATTGCCAGACAGAGAAGTGTGATTCGTCACTCACACATCTCCTCCACCCCTCCACTAGAAAGTTTTCAGGTTTCCTGAGAGGTGGGAGGGTTCCAGCAGCCTTGACCTGTTACAGCCTCCCAGCTGGTCCTGAGGTATTCTCACTATCACTCTTTCCAGACTGACTCATCCCCTAGAGGCTACTCAGCCTCTACAGTAGGTGAAAAAAACATTTTTACTAAAGCATACCTTTCAGGTTCCTATGGTGTCCCCCAGTGAATTTTAAAACAAGATAGCAAAGCTCCCTTCTTTCCCAAGTCCTAACCTCTGGTGGAATGGTGAGATGGGGCGCCAGGCTGGTTTTATAAATGTAACCCACTCTACTAGAAGTTTTGCTTTTATTGCTGTATGTGACCCCTATGGAGAGATTTCCTCTCACTTTCCATTCTGACACTCATCAACAGGAAGTGAGTATAAATATCTCATATGGAAACAAAGGAATAAAAAAGTGGATAGAGGCTCTAACCCTTCCGCACTCTATGCAAACCAAAATGTGAAATGCTTTTATTTAAGCTGGGACTTTACTCAGTTAAGGAAAAGGATTTGTATCCTGGTTGGTCATCTTAACAGTAAATGCTAATTTGGTACACACAGGGGCGGACGGACAACTCATGGAACCCCCGGGCAATAGGGGATCATGGGGCCCCTGTGTCCTTGCCCAAGCTCAAAAAAGCCAATGAAAAAGGTACCAGGGGCATCTCATGGGGCCCTCGTGCAGTGCCCGAGTTTCCAAATGGTCAGTCCGCCCCTGGGTACACAGCATCTGAAGAACCTAACAGATGACAACTATGATAATAAAGAATAAGCCTGGAACTAGATGGGCAGCATAGGCGGAAGGCCTAACATGACTAGGTTTGCACGACAGGCTAGAGTAATGCAGGGTTAATAAAGTAGATTTTGTTTTAAAAAGGAAGGTGCCTTGGCTGATTGGAGGAAGCTCGGGTGTGGCTGAGAGGGGCTAGGTGGGCTCAGGTGGCGCAAGTGGGATGGTGCTAAATTGGTCAAAGTTAGTTGGAGCTGGTACAGCATAGAACAAGATTCTCCCGCCCTCCCTCTCGTACAAAATATTGTAGCTCCGTGTTCTCTGTGGTTACTTTGTTTGGTTTTCTTTCTTTGCCTTTCCGTGGTGATGGTGCTTGGGAAGTTTCCTATATGAGTAGGACTGCTTGGTGGTATTATTGGGTGTTTTTGGGGGATTGCCTGTTTTCTCTGGGGTATGTCATAGCAGTTTTTGGCAGGGGTTTCAGGGCCTTGGAAGGCAGTTTAAATTTTGGAGAATGATGGGTTGGACCCATCACAGGTATGGGTGTATCTACCCTAGTGGATTTATGGCAGTAATGGTTCAAGAGTCAGTTGGCTGTATCAAGGGTATCTTATAGTAAATTGTCCCTGAGTCAGTGTATTTGCGGCTGGGGACCTTGAAGTCTATTTTGGTGGTAGATACAGTCGGTTGATCGATATACAAGTTGCCTTCTAAGACCCTAGACTTTATTGAGGTCAGTTCTGTAATAACATTATGGAGATTACTGTTCAGAGAGAGATATAAAGAAAAATGTATTTTGGTAACAAATTGGAATCTTGTTGTTTAATAAAATGGCTGATATGGCCTTTTCAACTCCAAAGTCGGTCAGTGTCGTCTGTCGTTGGGGAGGTCACAAGTCGATCTGGGGGTTTTAAATGATGAAAAGCAGCCGTAATATCTGCAATACCTAAGTCATGTATTTCACCTTCAATTTATCATGCTCCTTGATTGCACTGTGCACAGTCAATGCAGAGCGTAGGCTGGCTGCAATTATTGCTTACAGTATGTCCTGTTTATTAATCGTGTTACATACTACACACGTAGGGCACCACTTAATATTTGTGATTTCAGCTTTAATGATATGTTTTTCCCGCATACTGTATAACAACATTGATTTTTTTTTCCTGTATTTTCATGATCCTTTATTGCTAATGATATAACCAGGGCTTTCTTTCTGCCGGAACGCGGCGGTACTGCGTTCCGCCACCTTTTTCTTCTTGTCCCCGCTCACCGACTGCCTCTGCAGAGCTGACAAGCTATGCAGAGCAGCGAAAGTGACAGGTGCCGGACGCGGCTTGTTTATGTCATGCTTGCGCGTGCCCGGCACCTGTCACTGCCGCTGCTCACAGCCGGTGAGCGGGGACATGCACGCTTCACCCCCCCCCCTCTACCGCCAGCGTGTAAACATCGGGGGGGCGCGCGGCCACCCCCATAGGAAAGGTGTATCTTAGTACACCCGGCGGTGCGCGCTGACGTCATCACGCCCTCTGCTCGTCGATCCTACCATAGCGCGGATCGTCAGCATCAGGTAAGGAGCGGCGATACAATTTTTCTCGCTTTTCTTGCTAATGTGGGGGGGGGCAGTGTTACTCGCTATTTTACTAATGTGGGGGGGGGGGCGGTGTTAATTCCATACATTTACTTTTATAGCCCCTCCCAAATTTTACTTGCATTCCTGTTCTCTAAAGGGGTGGTCCTAGGGTTTGATGGGGGCGTGGCCAGGTTTGGGTGGGGGAGTTCCACCACCTTTCCTCTGAGAAAAAAAGCCCTGGATATAACTAAATATTTTTAAGGCAAACTATAGACTTTTTAGTATTTACTATGAATAAGAGTAAAACGACGTTTAGTCTATAACTACTGTTGTGGTATCAGTGTTATAATTTCTGTGACATCAATGCACATGTCCTACTACATTGTGTGTTGGCCAGCTGCAACTGCTGATCAAATGAAAATTTTCAAAACAGTTTGACAGATCTTTAGATCAACTTCTGCCAAGCTGGAAAGGCCGAAGATGGATCGGAATTCAGCCGGTCCCTGCTAAAACGGATGGATAGCCAATTTCAATCCATCTCTGGCCAGCTTAAGCCTTCATTCACACTTGACATTTTTACAGCTGCTGGTTTTGGCTTTTGTTGTTTTTTTCTACAGCTAGTAAATCCCCCAGCATGGTATCCTATGTGTCCATGCACACATAGGCTGTCATCAACGTTTTTTTTTTTGGCTGAGATGTTTTTTGGCTGGAAAAAAAAAAACAGGACTAGTGGATTTCTAGAGGAGTTTTTTAGCTGTAAAAATGCTCTAATGCTGAAAAACACAAAAAAATGCAGCAAACTCTTTCAACCAGTCCTCCTCTGCATCATTCAGATGTTCAGTAGCAAACGTCAGATGGGCCTGGACATGTGCTTTCTTGAGCAGAGGGACCTTGTGGGCACTGCAGGATTTCAATCCTTGTCGGTGTAGTGTGTTACCAATTGTTTTCTTGGTGATTGTGGTCCCAGTTGCCTGGGGATCATTGACAAGATCCTCATGTGTAGTTCTGGGATGATTCCTCACTGTTCTCATGATCATTGACACTCCATGAGGTGAGATCTTGCATGGTGCACCACACCTAGGGAAACTGACAGTTGTTTTGTGTTTCTGCCATTTGCGAATGATTGCATCAACTGTTGTCACCTTCTCACCAAGCTGCTTGGCGATAGTTTGGTAGCCCAGTCCAGCCTTGTGTAGGTCTACAATCTTGTCCCTAACATCCTTGGACAGCTCTTTGGTCTTTGCCATGGTGGAGAGTTTGGAATCTGATTATTTGAGTGTTCCTGTCTTTTATACAGGTAACAAAATGAGATTAGCAGCACTCCCTTTAAGAGACTACTTCTAATCTCAGTTTGTATGAAAGACACCTGGTAGCCAGAAATCCTGCTGAATGATAGGGGATCAATTACTTATTTCCCTCATGAACATGCAAATCAGTGCCTAATTTGTTAGACATGCATTTCTTTTGAATTTTTTGTTGCTATTCTGTCTCTCAGTGTTACAATACACCTACCATTCGATTTTTAGACTGATCATTTCTTTGTGAGTGGGCAAACATTCAAAATCAGCAGGGGATCAAATACTTATTTTCTTCACTGTAAGCTGTCTTGGATCTTGGACGGCGTTGTGTCCACTTGCGTCTTCACATCCTCTGTTCCACGAGTGTTGAATTTATGTGCCATATACTACTTATGTTTGTGAGTATGTTTTCAGCTTTTTATACAACCAATAAAAACCCGCGGGGATAATGCACTAGGCTGGTGAGCCCATTTTCTTTTGTTTGATCTTTTGCAGTATTGCTGGATTTCCCTGGTCGTAGGAGGGCAGCAAGGCCTCAATATCCCTGGATATGGGTTCACAGGGAATTCTGTCTATTTACCCTGGTCTATCACACCCATGGGCAGGAGTAATAGCAATTGGTACAGAGATGTCTGGGACATAATTCTCAGGGAGCTAACCCTGGGTGAGATATAGAAAAAGCCGAAAGGCACCTCTGTACAATACAATGTAAAGACCAATACTAAAAAAAAGGTATAGAAGTTTGGAAAGAAAAAGAAAAAAAAAACTAGTACCGGAGACAAAGAAAAACTAGAAATGAGAGGGGTCGGGAGGCGGGGAAGGCAAGCAAGGGGCAGGATCATAGCAGACGTGGGCAATAGGGCCAACCCGACAAGCACAGGGCCGTGGTCAGATAAACCCAGGCCCCTGGGGAGGACAAGGAAGGAGAATCCAGAGCCATCTTGCCGGATTGTGTACCCGAGGACTGGGTAAAAAAACAGCCTAAATCGCCCTGGGATCGGCCCCCAGCTGTGCTCTTGGGGGTCCGTGGCTGGTTTCTGCCTATTTGCGGGGCTGAAGACTAGTGGGTGAATGGAGAGAAGCCCCGCTTAAGAGGTCCAGGTCAGGAGTCCTCTGGGACCGGCCCCCAGCTGTGCTCTTGGGGGTCCGTGCTGGTTCCTGCCCATTTGCGGGGCTGAAGAGTAGTGGGTGGATAGTGAGGAGCCCTGCTGAAGAGGTCCGGGTCAGGAGCTGTGTAGGAAGACGTCCTACGGCTCCATGCGCCAAGCCACACTCCCATTGCGTTACTTTAACTGACAATTGCGCAGTCATGCATATCCCATTAAAAAAAAAATTTCAAAATCACATTTTTTCATAAGTTTAGGACAAAATGTATTCTGCTACACATTTTTAGTAAACAAATGCCAATAAACATACATTGAATCAGTTTGTGCAAAAGTTATTGCATCTAAAACTGGACATATACTGGAATTTTTTGTAATGCTAGTATTGACAGCGACGAGTGACTTGTAGAGGAACTGCGATATTGCAGCAGACATTTTTACACTAATTGACACTTTGTGGGAACCAGTGACACTGATACAGTGATCAGTGCCAAAAATATGCACTGACACTCTACTAATGACACTGGTTGGGAAGGTGTTAAACATCTATGGTGATCAAAGGGTTAACTCTGTGCCTAGAACTTGCTTAGTGTACACTTTTACTAGGGGAAGTGAAGAATCATGTTCACAGCTTTGCAGGGATACATGATCCTTCTCTCTCCTTCCCGACGCCCCCCCCCCGTCCGAACAGAGCTCTGCCTTGTTTTCATGCCTGTTTACATCTGTTCTGTGCCCTGCCCGGCGACCAGCGGGTGCCAGCGGACGTTCATGCACTGGCACTCGCAGATCGGCTTCTGCTGTGAGTAGTCTTCCTGCAAAAACAGGATGTGAGAGGAAATCCCTGCACATTAAAAGGAATCCCTCAGAGACCCCCAGGTCTCCGGAATCATTGTCACCATTGGAAGATTTCCCTTCTATTACTCTTCTTTGGACAATCCAAATTTAGAGATTTTCTTTTACTTTCACTGATAATGGTAAACAGAACAAACGGCAAAGGTGATTCGCCCTAATGGGGGTATAGCAATAACAGAAATGGGGGGACAGTAATAACAAAT